ACCCACAGTTTGGAAGGCTCTTTCCATTCAAACCAAGGCCAGTGAAGCCGCAAAGCTCACACAAACTTGTCTGTGTTGAGCACTCCAAGGCCTCCTCGCTCGTATGACATGCATACCATGCCCCAGTTCACCTTGCATTTCACTCGTATTGTCTTGTTCGATCCTGACCACAGGAAAGCTCTATCAAGTTTATTAGTGCTACAGAGAGTGCTTGGAAGTGCAATGAGTGGCGTAATGTGGTATAGCACTTGGGAGGAGAGGACCCGTTTGACGAGGATGGCACGTCCAATTGTGGTGATGTTGCCTCCATCTCAAGGAGTGAGCTTAGCCGCCACCTTGTCCTCCAGGAATTGAAAGTCCACTTTTTCCAGCTTATACACCGAGAGGGATAGACCTAAGTATCTCATTGGGAAGGAGGATCTTTTAGCTCGCAAATTATGAAGGACGTGTGTTAAGTTTATGTGACCGCATCTGGTTGGTATGACTGAGCTCTTTTGAAAGTTGGTTGCGAGACCCGTGGCCTCGCCAAAACAGTGTAGAATCTGAGAGAGTCAATCAATGTCACTCTTGATGGGTGCCATGAAGACTGTCACATCATCCGCATAGAGAGGTGTGCACTATGGCACCACGGCCACGAATCTTGTGTAGGAGGCCCTTTGAGGTGCCGTTGTTCAGGAGTTGCTAAAGCAGATCAATGGCAAGGACAAACAACAACAGAGATATAGGGTCTCCTTGTCGAAGAACACAACCATGCTTGATCGGAGGCCCCGGCACCCCATTTAGAAGGAACCTGGAAGAAGAGGTGCATAGCAGGGCAGTGATCCAATTTCTGAACTTAGCGGGGAATCCTCTCTTTTGAAGGTCGATGATGTTCCCATTTGACCGAATGGAAGGCTTTACGAATGTCCAACTTGAATAGGAGTGACAGGAGTTTTGCTCTTTTGCAGTCTATGAGCAAGGTTTCTGACATACATGAAGTTGACGTCGATGCTCCTTCTCTTGATGAAGGCACTTTGCGCATTGGAGACAAGGACATTCATGTGATGACGTAATTTGTTTGCAAGGATTTTTGCAATGATCTTTGTGATGACGTGGATGAGACTAATTGGCCTATAATCTGAGATTCCCTCCGGACCCTCCTTCTTCAGCAAAAGCACCATGTATGCCGAAATCAACCAATGGAGATTAGTACCATGAAGGTCCTCGAAGAGTCGGATCACACGCATCACATCCCCCTTTACTTTTTGCCAACATTTTTTGAAGAAAAGATCGGTGAAGCCGTCCGGGCCCGGAGCCTTGTCAGAAGGCAAGTCATTGATCGCCGCTTTCACCTGCTCTTCGTTGATGGGGTCCTCCAGCTCTGACAAGTCATGAGTCTCAAAGTTTAGTTCATCTCAGTTTAGGTCCAGGGACCAAGCTCCCCTTTTTCTAGCACCTCTCTAAAATGATCAAAAATGAGCTCCACTTTTTCTCATGCTCGATGATCCACCCTTGGTTGTGTTTGAGCATGTGGCTGTAATTTTTCTGGCGTCTTTCATTAATTTTTCGGTGAAAGAATTTGGTGTCCGCATCACCTCCTTTAGATTTGTCATTTTAGCACACTGGCATTTTTGAGCTCTCTCGTTGATCGATAAGGAGATCACCCTCCGTTTTAGTCTCTTGTGAAGGTCTGTCTCCCCCAAGGATAAAGCGCAACTTTCTTGGGAGGAGGTGCACTAAGATATACAAGGTGAATCTCACTCTAAAAGCATAGAAATCTTGACTAATTCCTTTTTGTCATTTTAGCACACTGGCGTTTTTGAGCTCTCTTGTTGACCGATAAGGAGATCACCCTCCGTTTTAGTCTCTTGCGAAGGTCTGTCTCCCCCAAGGATAAAGCACAACTTTCCCTCAAGTCCCAAGAAACTGCGCAATTCTTTCAGAATATAAGGTCTAAGCCAACTCTTTCTAGCTTCAACCTTTCCTGGATCAGTCGATACCCCTCCCTTAGATACAATAGGAGGTGCAAGATATACAAGGTGAATCTCACTCTAAAAGCATAGAAATCTTGACTAATTCCTTTCTTTTTGAGCGGTATCTTGACTAACCCGACAGGCCACTCCACTAATGAAGGCCACAACAGGGTAAATATCTGCACCCATAAATTTCATATTTCTGAAATCAGCTCTCTGGACAAGGATGCTCCATTCAAGCCTATGCCACTTAGAGTAAGTACAATAATGGGCTTATAGCTTGCTTACATGGCAATTTTGCCTATATAGAGGAGAGACATGAAAAAGTGAGGGGAGTGGGCTCTCATACAAAAGTCTAGCTATATGCATGCTCCTAAGTAGATATAATAAATGTGAGGAAAGAGATAGAGAGAAGATGAAGAAAAATAGTATTTTTATAGCCAACCTTATAACTAACCTTATTGTATGAGTGGCTACAAGTGATGACCATATATGACATGGCAACATCATATAGCCAGTAGTTGGCTATACTACTATGATAGCAACCATCTTTAGCCTAGGCACAATCGATGGTATTGTGTCCAGGCCAGGGTATTGGTTGGTGTGCATCTCTGCTAACTACTACCTCGGCCCGGAATTAACTGTAATTTAAGAACTAGCACAAATCCAAGTAGAGCTGGAGCAAAGTGAACGCCCAGTGCAGGAGTACCTTGGATAAAATTGTCTTACGACCATGTGCAACTACCCAATTAAGGCTGGTCACAATGGGGAGGAACTTAGGAGTAACATCACACACTCCAATACAACTTTGCTTATGTGTCACATATTTAATGAAGAGAGAGGTGCTTGTGGTAACTAGCTAAGTTACCGGAACATCACACACTCCAAAAAACAATGAGTCTATAACCTAATAAATACATTGTTGCATGACACTACATAGATGTTCCTACCCATTGTGGAGGTAGTAACATAGTCTAGGGAAGTGTGTAAGTTACTAGACTATGTTCTTGCCCATTGTGACCAGCCTAAGACAATGTTTTTCATGGTTTAGGAGAAACTGCAGCACCCAAAAAGTGTTCACACTTAATGAGCTGACGTTCCATATTTTTTTGGAGTATTTTGACGACTGCTTCGATAAATCCATATGTTTTGGCCGGTGTTATTTCGACAGAAGGTTAGCCTTGAAAGCTTTAGATACTTTTCGTAATTGTCCTTCAACAAAACTGGAGGCAGTTTCTGTTGTGGTGAAACTGTGGTTTGCTGGCAATATTTAGCGGGATAAAACCAATTAGTATTTTGTTGTGTGATCCATCACGGTGAAATAATTTTGTGGTTTATGCCTTGGAATTTCGCTCAATATTTATTACATGAAATGATCTTAATCAGCCCTTCGTGTTTGTAGCTTGCTACGTAGAATTATCTGCCATTTGTATTTTGGCTTTACTTGTTTATTAAAGTATGAAGTATACATGCACTGTTTTCCATATCTGATATTTTCATCTTATCTTCTATTACTCCATCTGTTCCTAAATATAAGTTTTTTTAGAGCATCTCCAACGGCCGCACAAAAATTTCGCGCCCAATAAACGTTATAGCACGCCATAGTGCAAATTGTGAAGCGGACGCAATCCGGCGCCCAAAATATGCTGCGCGCGATAGCGTTTTTCAGCGCGCGCCCAAAAACTTTTAGCGCTACAGCTTCTGCTGAAGCTGCCCGGCACCCAAAAAACTAAACTTTTAATGCACGAAGCTCTTTTTGGGCGCCTGTTGGAGATGCTCTTAGAGATTCCAATATGGACTACATACGAAGCAAAATGAGTGAATCTACACGCTAAAATATGTCTATGTACATTTGTATGTAGTTTATATTAAAATCTCTAAAAAGACTTATAATTTAGGAACGGAGGGAGTACGTTTTTACCTTAACCTCCCAACTTTCAATACATTACCTTTGATTTGTTTAGGGCCAGAGGAGTTCACTTGTGTGTTTTACAGTCTTCAGAATTGGTACAGCTGCAAGTTCCCTTGCTTATCCGTGAGGTAACCAATGAACTAACTTAATGAAGTTACTTTACCATCCCATCTGTTACATTTCCCACATGTCAGAGGTTTGACTGTGACCGAATACTGACAAAGAAGCTAGGGAGTACTTGTCAGTATGCTTGACTAACAAGTAGCATCATGATCTGTTTTTGTTTTCTATACCTTATTATAGGTGGTCAAGAAATTTTGAATGTAATTAACATATGGTCCAGCTGACCAAATTTGAAGGTAATTACCTAGGTTGAATTGGGAATTGAGCAAATTGCATTTACACAGCTCAATTTTGAAGGTAAGTCCCATATTGTCCAGTTGAAGGTAATTACCTAGGTTCAATTGGGAAATGAGCAAATTGCATTTACATGATGGTAAAGCTCAATTTTGAAGGTAGGTCACATATTGTCCAGTTGAAGGTAATTGGTTCAATTGGGAAATGAGCAAATTGCATTTACATGATAGTAAAGCTTAATGAAGTTTTTGGTTGAGTTGATTCTTGATAGTATCACCTAAATATATCACCCATGCATACAAGAGTGTTTCCCCGTTGCAACGCACGGGCACTTACCTAGTATACTTTACAAAATGTATAAGGGCAAATAAGAAAAGGTGAAAGAAGAATTACTAGTGCAATAGTCATCTCTTATGGATCTTATTATAAGCAATACTTAAGTAAATGAAAAGCTGATCACTTTACACTTGCAGGAGAAAGAGTGTGAAAAGGAGAATTTATCTAGCCTGTGATCATATGCCATAATAAATTGAGTGATTTCAGGGGCATAGAAATCTGTACTATCTCCGAAATAAGAGATGTGGTACAAAATGGTTCCCGCATACAATCACTGGGAGCTCTCATAACATGTAAATTCCATTCAAACCATGAACATAAGCATCACTAGATGTACTATTGGAATGAAACTAATCATTAACCATTCTCATAACGTAAGCTCTTCTAATCATATTGTACTATTGAAATGAAACTAAAATCATTAACTGAGGCACAAAGAACCTCTAAGATGATGAAGCTATGACCTGCGACGTTGCATCACCAGACTCTTTCTTCTGGTCATCACCTTCATTCTGTTCTGCAGCACCAACAGCGTCACTGTGAGATTCAACAACCTGTGCCTCCTCAACACTCATTTCTTGAGACGATTCACCATTTTCTGCTCCGCTCTTGCGACCCAGCACCGCGTCAATAGCTGCTCTACTTGCTCTGGCAGCAGATTCCTCCTTAGCCTTAGCCTCAGCCTTCTTCTTCTCCTCTTCTTCTTTAGCAAGAGCCTCTGCCCTAGCCTTCTCTTCAGCTGCACGTGCTGCAGCCTCTGCTTTCTCCGTCTCAACATCCTCATACAACTTTGTCATATCCCCGTTTCTCCCCTCTTTCTGCAATGCCCCGTATAGAAGTGCCTTCAATTCATCAGTAAATACAATACTCTCATCCAAAAGAATACCCTTGGCCATCTTAATTGCATCATCCAACCTTGCAACATTGATGTATGCTCTCAACAATGATTCATAGCTAGCAATGTTTGGCTTGACCTCCTTTTCGGGCATCAGATCAAAGAACCCCTGTGCCTCGTCAATCCTATCAACCTTCACCAAGCCACTTATGACTTTGTTAAAGGAATTGGCATTGGGCCTGAGACCAACATCAAACATCTTATTGAAGTAACCAACAGCGTCATCCACATTATCAACCCTGAAGCAGGACTCAATGAGCAAGACATAACTGTATTCGTCAGGATTAATACCACGCTCCCCCATCTCCTTGTACAGTCCTTCTGCCTCACCAACAAGTTCATTCTTCCCCAGCCAGTCAATCAGACTATTGTATGAGAGTGCATCTGGTGTGCAGCTTTTCTCACCCATTTTGCCAAACACCTCAATTGCGTCCTGGAATCTTTCCACACGGCAGTACGCATCAACCATCACATTAAAACTACCAAGATTCACAGCAATCCTCCTGGGCGGGTCATGCTCTTTGCACATCCTATCAAACAACTCGACTGCATCATCTAACCTCCCATTCCTACCAAGCGCATCAAGCACCATGTTGTAGCTAACAGCCTCAAATCTCACCTTGGATCCCTCTCCAAGCACCTCGGTGTAGCAATCCATGGCCTCCTTGTCCATACCCTTTAGAAAGTACCCCTTCATAAGGTTCCCGTACACCACACCATCAAGGATCAGCCCGCCACCAAGCTTCTCCTTAAGCTCCTCGTACAGTGAGACCGCCGTGTCACCATCCCCGGCGTTGACAAAACCACCCATGACGAACGCATAGACCTGGGGGTCGGGAGCGATAAGGCCACGCTCGAGCATGCCGTCCTTGAGCTCGAGCGCCAGATCGAGCTTGCCGTTCTCGGCGAGGGAGCGGGCAAGGATACGATATGTGGTTGGGGATGGGAGGACAGGGGAGTCGTCCTTGAGTAGGAGACGGAAGTGCTCCAGCGCGGTTTCAGGGCGACGGCAGTCGCAGTAGGCCTGAAGGAGGAGGTTGTGGGTGGCGACGGTGGGCGCGACGGAGGCCTGGGTGACGAAGCGGTGCAGGGAGAGGAGATCCGCGTAGCGCGCCTGCCGGAGGAGCGCAGCTAGTACTGTGTTGCAGGTGAATACGGTGGGGCGGCAGTTGGAGTAGATGGAGTGGCGGGTGAGGAGCGCCGCCTCGTCGAGGTCGTTCTCGCGGACGAGCGTGAGGATGCGGCGATGGAGATCGAGGCGCTTGCCGGAGAGGACCGACGCTGGCTCAGGGAGCTTGAGAGCGTTGGGGTTAGACGAGGGGCGGGGCCCTCCAGGGGTGCGCTGGGGAGTCGGGCCGCGGGAGGACGGCGGCTCCACGCGGAGGCGGCGCTTGCGGCGGCGGCGCTCGGCGGAGGCGTCGGTGGGGGCATCCGGGAGATCGGTGGGGGTGGCGAGGCAGAGGAGACGGTGCTGGGGGCGGGCGGGGAGGCGGAGGGAGAAGGGAAGGAGGCGGGAGAAGAGGGGCTTCGAGAGCGCCATGGAGGCCACGGAGCACGACGGCGAGCCGACGAGGGTTTAGCTAGGGATTTGGGGATATTTTCTCCTGGAAATGGCAAATGGCGAGAAGTCGAACACGATAGGCTAACTCTTCAGAGAGAGAATACAAGCCCGTTACTGGTACGTGTGGGCTGGGCAAGATCCCATGATGGGCTTGGGCTACATGCCTTCGTGTCCGTGTCTTCCGTGCATGAACGCGTGGATAACGATTCCAAGGCCGAGAAACCCGGACAATTTGACTAGTAGCATCGTTGATGCTAAAAAAAAAAGGTAAAGGGATGTGAAGCTGGGGTGCAAATTGATGGATGTTAGGGTACCTCTACCCTTGCTAGTTCAAATATATGTTACTCAAAAAAAAGGTAGCTCAAATATATAATAATAAATGTACTAACAATCATAAAAAGAGATATTTTGGAATTTTTAGGGGAATCGATTAGATTCATCCGGCTGTAAACGCAACGATCGGCCTATGTCCGCCTCTTCCGTATCTCCTCACTTATCGTTCCGTTTTCAGATTTTCCTCATCCAAGCATGCCCTCTCTCTTACCTTCTCACCATGGCACACTGTCGCTTTTGCTACCACCGTCACTACACCTCTATTACTGTAATGCCCCGGATGTAACATTCCATAATTGTAACTCCAACTTTTGCCATTTCAGGCTATGTGATATGTTATATCATTCATGGTTGGGTTTTGTTCCTCGTTTTGAATTTTGTTCATGTCATGCATTTCATCTCATGTCATCATGTGCATCTCATTTGCATTCGTGTTCGTCTCATGTATCCGGTCATTTTCCCTGTTGTCCGTTTCGGAATCCGACACTCACAAATGCACCCGTTGCACCTCTCAAATCTCGTTTCGTGAGCGGAAGAAAAACGTTATCGGAAGGGCCAAGATTTGTTGAGTGGCCTTGCTACATCATCGATAGGCCGCCTGTCAAACTTCGTTCCATTTGGAGGTCGTTTGATGCCCCAACGGTTAACCGGGTAACCGCAAAAACCCCTCTCTCATTGCAGCCCAGCACCCCTCTAAAACAGCCCACTAACCCATCTAAACCTCCTCTGTGCTATCCGTCGTTAGATTACAATCGTGTGGGCGAAAACCGCATCTTATTTGGACTCTCCTATCTCCCTCTACCTATAAAAAGGTTCATTCTCATCCACTTTCGGACGAAACCCTAGCCCCCCCCCCCTCTCCCGCCACCACCGGACGCGTCCGTGACGGCCGGACGTGTCTGCGCCGCCGCCCCCTGAAGGAAATATGCCCTAGAGGCAATAATAAAGTTATTATTATTTCCTTATATCATGATAAATGTTTATTATTCATGCTAGAATT